CCCCCCCCCCCCCGCCACCCTCCCGCACGCCCCCCGGCGCCGGCAATTTAGCCGATATTAAGTTTATATAGCGATTTGTACCCTTCTTTACACCGACACAAACAAGCTACGCGACTCCAGTCAACTTATCCCCTTATCCTTTATCTACGCTGATATTTTCATACGAAATATGTTAAACTTGAGTTATTGAGGATGACGGAGTCCGTGTAGTTGTAAATATACTGTACTAGAAGTTTGGCTTGATAGTTGTGGGAACTTAGCACTGAGTCTGAATCAATAACACTCAAATCAAAAATATTGTATTCAATAATCTTAATTAATCATATTTCTCAGGTGTCTCGAGCTCTCGCGCTATTTTAATTAAATATTAATTCACGTCAAATAGTTGTGTTCATGTTTAGTGGAATGACTCGTTTCCACCTGACTTGTCGCGTCGCCGCCGTGGGAACAGAGGTCGCCACTTGTCTATGCTAAATAAACAGGACTATTTAATATTTATAGTTTAAATTAATATGTTTGCTTATCATTTGTGATGGCTAGAAATGTTTTAGAAATAGGTTATGTCGATATCTCTTACCTCGATTATAGAATATACGCTTAAGTTTTGGAACATAACGCATTTTAACAATTAGAACAAAACATTTTTCAACTTGGAAGTTAGTAGATCTACTAGATCGATCGATCTTAGAAATAAAACGTTATAATTTTTCTCATATTTAAAGTCAAACTGGTTTGAGAATATAAGAGAAACAACACAAAAATAAATAATTTAATATTCAGATATGAAATAAAGTTTTATTTGTAATAAGCTAATTTTTTTTTTTAATAATGTGGGACTGTCCGCGAAAGTACAAAAGCATGGTGTCAGTGGTGGGAATGGCCGGCGTGTCATTTCGGCGACCAAACACAATGCGCACATTTCACTGCGCGCTCAGTCCGTTAATGAGTTGTGCTAATTCAATTTGTGTCTGCTCGCGCGCGCAAATTACGCGTTCATCGCGAAATTATCGCGCCTTTTGTGAGCGAGGTAAACGATTTATTGTTGTGCTAATTGCTTAACAAAGATGTGCAAATATTTGTTCGCCGCCATTGATTTATTTTCCTTTCCCAGAGACGCGAATAAAATGCGTCGCGATGAATATATATTGAATATCAATAGCATCTCGTGTGTCTTCAAATAGTGCCAATAAATATAGGCGTGTATTTTTATATGATTTTGATTTCTTGAGAGAAGGTACAAATAGTGGCTGGACTCAGCCGACCATTGTTCCCGCAGTGAACGATCCGGAAACTAAATAAAAACAAGGGGTCGCTTTAATTAGTCAAAAGTTAAATAGTAGGGCTGACCGGTGCAGAGTGAGCACTACATTTAGTGTACAGCAAAGATGCTGGCTACTTGACATTAATTGCTTTGTCTATCTCTGTCCTCTGCAGTGAGTGCACACATGTATGGAAGTGTCTGGTCCGCTGCTGCTGCTGAGCAACAGCTGCTGTACTGAATGTTGTACTTAATGTTGGGATAGGGAAGTGATGTCATTCTCTACGACATTACGTTTCCATTCCATCAGAGTACTTACTGCTTGTTAAAGAGTTGGCTAAAGTAATTGAGATAAATAATAAAAGAACAAGCTAGTCTCTCAGTTTACCGTCGCGGCAAGTTGGTGGTGGTGGTGGTGGTGATGGTGGGGGGGCTTGATGATTAAAGCCGATAAAGAAATGTGCGCGAAATCTCACAGTTAACGCCTAGCAAGTGGCTTTGTTACCGTCGCCCACACGACGCGACTCATATCGCGCCATTCATTGCGACGCGACGAGTGCGGCTTAGTACACCCCCTCCACTTCCCCTTCCTTCCCGCCACCCCCCGTAACTCCCGAAATTTTTACCAAATTAATCTTTCTTCAAACACTCCAAGTTCTTTGTGCGGCGATCGGAGACGCAAATTTAATCTAGTGCCCGCAATGATCGCGCGTGACGCGGGGTGCGGTGAGCGCGGGGGGTGGCGGCACTCGGGATGCGGGGCGCGGGGCAGTACAAAGAACTCTTAAACAAAGCGTTCGACAGCGGAGGCTGCGCTAAGAGCAATCGATACAAACTTGTGCTAGACTTAGCCGCCTGCCCTTTTATTTTACTCTCCGCTTTCATGGACGAGTACTTACAATAAAACGACTCGCGACATCCATCGCAACTCAACACAAACACAGTAAATGTATGAACTCCGTAACGCAAGTGAGTTACCAAGTTCTATACTTGTTTAAACTTATTGCATTTCGTCGCAATTTTCTGTGCATTTCTTTTATCGATCTGACGTCGTGCCTATCTATAATAGTATCTCGTAGTTGGGTTTCGACGTACGACGGGTTCGTGTGGGACAGGGACGACGAGCATCAATCTTTTTATAAAGGAAAAGAATTGAATATAAATGATGTATGTTGCAGTACAAAATGTGAGAGAGAATCGAAAGTGAGTTTGTAGCGCTGAGAGAGCTGAGGCTCGAGTAATAAAACAACAAAATAATTTTACGATGCAATTTATTTTTACAACTACAAATGAATGATTGCGCGGCGCGAGTCAGTAACGCGCACTGGTCACTTCGCGCGCCTTCATACAATATATAATATGTACATTGAAATATATTTACAATTACAAAATATGTGGCAATGCGTTGTCTTACAAATAAACAGCACAACAACAGATTGCATTTAATCTGTCACTTAAATACTTTTACGTTTAACAAAAAAAAAACATCGGTTCTGATATTGAGTCATACTTAACAAAACAATAGCGATATACTTTTATTGATAAACTATACTTAACCGACTACATTATATAAATACTAATATACTCGTAGCGCACGTCACGTCACGTTACAATGAGATGACGCGACGTCCGCCGCAGTGGAGACAGTCACCCGGTGTACACTATCATAATATTTACACTTGCTTCTTTATCTAGTCAATATAACGCTACATCTGGGGACTTCTTACATAATAATGGTCTAGGTCTTAAATAAAGTATATGAAGGTGACTAGTACATTATTACCTAACTTCAGAGATCAGCCAATTTTGATATTAACAACACTTTAAACATTAATTGTTATTTTTATCCTAACAATATGAGAGATTTACCTGTGTACTTTTATGTGTGCAGTTAGTGCAATGATATATCTGTTTGCGCACATGTTTTTGCAGTGGAAACTCATTACAACAATGACGTCATGAAATAATAAGTTTAGATTCACTTAACAGTGGAATGCAACAGTACTCTGTTTGTGGATGTCGCGCTGTGAACTGTTAAGGCACTGTGTAGTACTTACAGCCGTGTAGTATGACATGCAACACGTCGCCGTTCACTTTCACATTAACTCTTGTAGATATACAATAGAGAACAATAATGAAACTTTCCAAAATTTAATAACATCATTACTTATGATACAAGAAAATAAATTGTGACAGTGAAAACAAACATCACCTACAATGTGATACAGAGTCAGATGTAAATGAGTGCGCTTTTGAAGAGCTGATGACTTCTCATAATATAGTTTAATTTACATACACACAAACAAAACATATTATACATTCATTGTTCCACATAGATATATCCAAAAGATATTGTAACCTAGGCTAAAGTTACTGTACAATTCTATGGCGTCGAGCGGCGAGCATCGTGTCCGCCACGTGTTAGCCTCGCGTGTGCCGCGTTTACGGCGCGTTTAGCCGCGCGCGTTACGTGTGCACTCGCCCGCTGTAGCGGTCGTGCAGCAGCGCCTCGTGCGCGCGCAACCGCAGCGCGTCCGGGTGCAGGGCGAGTGCGGGGTGCGGCGAGGGATGCGCGGGGTGCGCGGGGTGCGCAGGATGCGGGGGGTGCTGGGCCTGCGCGTGCAGCGCGGCATGTTGCAGCGGCGCGGGGTCTCGCGGGGGCGAGGGCCGCGCGGGGGACGGAGAGCGCGGGCGGGGCGAGGGCGGCGCGGGCGGCAGCGCCAGCACGTACCTGCGCAGACACCACTTGTCAGAATATGAACTTGCTGCAGATGCCGAGCGTGCAGCAAGTTGCAGCGTAAGACCGTACCTGTGCAGTAAGGCGCGGAAGGCGGCGGCGGGCGGGGCGTCGCGCCACAGCGGTGCCGGCAGCGCGCCCAGGCCCAGCGCCCACCACTCGCCGGCTCCCCACTCGCCGCCCCATTCACCACCTGCATATTAAAATATATGATTTACATTATTATAACAGTGAACAGTTGCGAAAGCTTCGGTTTGTTTAAAGGAGTTCTCCATTATCAGCGCAAACTTCTGATATTGAGATTACCAACAATCTGATCAACTGCAACGAAGATTGCGACCTGCGATTGCATGCACCTATGTCCAGTTTGTATTCACTATTCGTAGCCGTACTTTGATGTTACATAGCTGGGCGGCTAGTTCGTTAGACATATTGTTATAAATTACACTTATATTCGAATCGCATATTAATCGCTTTCAACTTTACGCAACTTAAGAAAATCAATATAATAAGCGGGTCATTTGTTTGTGTTAGCGGCAGGTGGAGCTGAGCGAGATAGGCGCGGGGCCGATGACAGTGATAGCGTGCACAATACGGCGCTTGTCACTGCCTCACCTGTCACCTGTCACCCTTGACTATATTACTATTATCTATTACCTGGTCAATTCAAAAAATAATCATAACTCATAGATATCTTTAATGACTATTAACAAAAAATAGTGGAAAATTACCTAAAATCGCAACCCATTAAGATACATTTTTTTCTATAACCACTTCGGGGTACTGATATTATATTTTATCTTTGATATAATCAGAATAATAGAGATATCTTGTCACCCAGAACACGCAGTATGTATGTGTACGTATGAACCAGTACCGCACTTAATTCGCCCCACTTTACAACCATCCAGTAGACGACGTCCCCGCGGCTCAGTCATTATATCCCCATTTGGTCGCTGCCTCGAGTTTTATCTTTTTTTCTATCGAATTCATTTTACAATAATCACTTTTAAATAACAGGTTAGTGATATTTGTGTACCCAATTATTGGAAAGCTTTGAATTAAATAGCGTATTTAGTGACGTGTCGGCTACTTGCTTGTTTTGTTTTGTGGTAATAAGATATTGAGTTAAAAGTTGACATATTGAAATATAAAAGGTATATTTCATTGTAGTGAAATAGAATATGAAGAATATTTATATTGGATCGAGAGCCGAGAGCCGAGAGCCGAGAGCCGAGAGCCGAGAGCCGAGAGCCGAGAGCCGAGAGCCGAGAGCCGAGAGCCGAGAGCCGAGAGCCGAGAGCCGAGAGCCGAGAGCCGAGAGAGAGCCGAGAGCCGAGAGCCGAGAGCCGAGAGCCGAGAGCCGAGAGCCGAGAGCCGAGAGCCGAGAGCCGAGAGCCGAGAGCCGAGAGCCGAGAGCCGAGAGCCGAGAGCCGAGAGCCGAGAGCCGGCGGACATCACTTATTTACTATTACGATCAGATAATATTGGCACGCACTATAAGCGAATGGGCATTCGTTGTTCTGTCTCATAACGAGATTTGCTAAATTGTTGTTTCATAACATTGAACAAAAAATATAAAATTGTTGTCGTTATTATTATTGGAGCACAGCTCGAAAATCAATCATAAAGGCGACGCCACAACGCCGCGTCCGCGCCGCACCTTGCGATACAATCCGTAAATTATATTTGATTGTCGGCAGATAAACACAATGCCGGGTTTACATGTTTCATTAGTGGACACGGTGTTGCTGCGCTCTAATGGAGGGCGATTCAAGTAATATATCGTCGCAATCACGCCCGTTTAGCGACTACCGTGTCACTAATCGTATGTTTGTGTCACTTAACACACGCACCAGCTAATGATAGGTGACAGCGCTGACCGCTTAGATTACGGCTGTTATTGACTAAACCATTTGTATAACTGATTTGTTTTCTTATTTATAGCAAACTAGAAATTTGAATTACTTATAAAAACAAAAAATTATAAAAGGCAAAATGTGACCAAAGACTAATATTTAGAGACTAAGCCATAAATTATAGATTCTACGACTGAGCTGACACACATCTTGCTTTTTTCTTAAATCCAATTACTATTTGAATATGTAGTACATAGCAGTTTGTAAGCGGTAGCCAGCAGATGTGTATGTGTGTGTGTGTGTACTGTAGGCGCGTAAGAGGCACTGACCGTGTTCGTGGTGTAGGAAGGGCGCGTGCTCGCGGCCCAGCGCCTTCTCTCGCTTACGCCACTTCGCACGTCGGTTCTGGAACCATACCTGTGCACAAACAAAACAATGCTAAATCTCGAGACGATGCTAAAGCTCGAAGGCATCGCGTCCGATCAGCCAGAAAGAGGAACGAGGGTGTGGGTCCGGGGAGGGAAGGTTACACTTTTAATTTTTTCCCGCGTAATCGCCGCCAATTTCCGGCGCGCCGCTCTCCACTACAATGGCGCTGTAATGACAAGCAATTACGCATACGTGGCGAGCTCTGCGGCGGTTCAACAAATGAAAATGTATTCTATTCCGTAGGCTTTAGGTTCTTGTTGCAGTGCATCGTTTAGAGAATAGAAATAAATTAAGCTAGCCGAGGCGCATTGCGCTAATAAAAAGACATTGTGTGACGAAAAATTGCGGTAATTTCATAATTCCTAAGCGATCGCAGCCGCCTCACCGCGCTACGCATTGTTACGTGCTACGCGCTGCGTGCTGCGCGCTACGTGGTCTTGTAGTACTACCAAACAAGTCAAAAATACTTTGGAGGTGCTACATTTTATATCTACATACATTAGTTAGGAACAGGTCACGCAAATTAAAACTCAGTATATTATCGTCATAAAATTACGCATATATTGTCAAGTGTTTCAACACTATCTAGCGCTTCCAAAGAAACATTTCTCAAAGAAAATCCAAATGTGTTAAATTCTCTTGTTCATTTATCGACATTCGAATGACACAAATCTAAAAAGTACAAACGCGTGAACCTCTCATTAATGACCGCAGTTTGAGAACCTCTCGACAGATTTCCAAATTAAAATTCGATCCTTAATTTGTTCACCAGCAATTGATACGACCACTCGAGGCGAGTGTCCCTCCCCCTCGCCCTCACCCCTGTCCGCGCATCCGCCCCGCGCGGTCCACACTCTCACTCTTTATTAAGAACTCAAGTGGACTCTAAGTTCTAACTAAATGCCACTAAACTTTCGCCTGAATATCAACTCAAAACTATAGCTTTAAAGTAGAAAACGCATCGACTAAATTTGATAAAGGGCGCATAGATCGTTTGTCGGCAAACGCCATCCATGAAGTGGAATTAAAAGCAATTTTCGCGTCGAGAGCGATTTAGGAGCGTGCGCTCAGTGTATAGGGCTGTCCATTGACTCACTGCAAGGTGTTGTGATGCGGTGAGCTACGAGCTCAGGAACTGTTCACAGCGCACACAACATTGTTCTAATGATAGACTATCAGATAATGCACAAATGTCTTTACAATAAATTATTATTAAATTGTTTCATATTTTTATTTGAAACTGTGGATATTAAGATGGCTTTAATACTAAGTGCATGTTTTCAAGATTCCCGCCTTCAACTGGAAAATTTCCTAAAAAGACTCGAAAGAAATAAAATTGAAGAAGGTCCTTATTCGAAATTACAGAGTTTAAATTAATAAATCAAATTCACACTTGTTCTAGAATTGTTTTAAGACTTTTAATAAATTCATAAATTTTGATAAAATAAACTCACATGCTCTACTTATGTGTATTTATAAATAGTCGCACTATTCCTTACATCATCCAATATAAAGTTTTTTGTAAATTTCAATAAATTTATAAGTAAAATTGTCAGCCCTGGACGCACAAATCCGTCAATGCAAGTGCAGTACAAATGCGCCCCCTGGTGCGCCCGGCCGCGACTTGTAGGCCTCAATACTTTAATGAATTGTACAAATTATATTAAAAGCGTGCTCCTGATTGCGTCACGCGTTCAAAAGCAAAGGCACTTGTTTGTTACTAAAGATGCTATAACATGATTTCATTATGTCATTATTTTGTAGGCTTATAATTTTGTGAGTAAAATGAGTTATTGTGGATGAGCTCTGAAACATCTATATATCGTGTATCTGTTGAAGATACCAACGTTACGTCCAACATTCATGAAACATATATGTAATGTGCAAAAATACAGAATATGTTTCAAGCGCAAATCATTGCACGGAAGCTAATGAGGAGCGGTGCACTGTAAGGGCCGACCAACACGGTCGCGCCGCAATCGTCGCGCGGCCGCTTGATTAGGCAATTGTGTGCCGCGCGGGGAACGGCTGCGATCTCTGCGGTTAGCACTAAATGGTCGCCAATTATCCTCTTCTGTTGGATTTCGTTCAGAAGATTACAAACAACAATTGTATTCATAAAATGCAATAGAACAGAGCGTTAATTTATTATAGTACAGTACTAATCTTCTCGTGTATTCATCATATTATTTTATTATGTTATTATTTTTATAGACTAAAACTAGAATTACGATGTTCAAATCCATCTTCATTCGACAATTGATCGTAGATTTAATTCCCTCATCATAGTTTCCTCAGTAGGGCATTGCAAACTGGAGATGCAGAAACTGTAGAGAAGATAATTGAAATGATCCTATGATGATAGAATCTTGTGGGGATTAGAATGTTGGAACAATGCGAGAGGCAACGAGGTGCGGCTGCTGGGCGTTGCGGGGCGGGTGCGGGGGCGGTGGC